TGTTTTCTTTATATTGAGATGTAATCCATACTGCAGACTGTATTCTTCAATAAGTAAGTATCATTAATATAGCATTAATGATACTTCATCAGTAAGTACTTCAAGTCATCCTCACTTTCAGCAAACAAAGTTGTGTCATCAGCGTATCACAGGTTGTTAATGATTCTTCCTCCAATCTTAATGCCATGTTCTTCTTCATACAGTCCAGCTTCTTGGATTATTTGCTCATCATACAGATTGAGTAAGTATGGAGAAAGGTTACAACCCTGACACACTCCCCTCTTGATTTTAAACCATGTAGTGTTCCCTTTTTCTGTTCGAACAACAGACTCCTGTTCTATGTACAAGTTCCTCATGAGTACAACTAAGTGTTCTGGAATTCCCATTCTTCTCAATGTTATCCACAATTTGTTATGATTCACAAAATCAAACAATTTTGCATAGTCAATAAAACACATGGAAACATCTTTCTGGTATTCTTTGTTTTGAGCCAAGATCCATCTGACATCAGCAATGATATCCCTCATTCCACGTCCTCTTCTGAATCCAGCTTGCACCTCTGGAAGTTCTCTGTCAATATACTGCCACAACCGGTTTTGAATTATCTTCAGTAAGATTTTACTTGCATGCAATGTTAATGATACTGTTCGATAACTTCCACATTCTGTGGGATCATCATTCTTTGGAATGAGTACAAATATGGATCTCTTCCAGTCAATTAGCCAGGTAGCTATATTCCAAATCTCTTGGCATAACCAAGTGAGTGTCTCCAGCAGGGCATCCATTTGTTGAAACATCTCAGTGGGTATTCGGTCAATTCCTGGAGCCTTGTTCTTTGCCAATTCTTTCAGTGCAGCTTCTAATTCTTCCTTCAGTACCATTGGTTCCTGAACATATGCCACCTCCTGAAATGGGTGAAGATTGACTAGTTCTTTTTGGTACAGTGATGCTGTGTATTCCTTCCATCTTCTTTTGATGCTTCCTGCATCATTCAATATTTTGCCCATACAATATTTCAATATTGCAACTCGAGGCTTAAATTTTTTTCCTCAGTTCTTTCAGCTTGAGAAATGACAAGCATGTTCTTCCCTTTTAGTTTTCTAATTCCAGGTCTCTGCACATTTCATTATAGTAATTGGCTTTGTGTTCTCGAACCGCTCTTTGAAATCTGTTCAGCTCTTTTATCTTGTCATTTCTTCCATTTACTTTAGCTACTCTTCTCTCAAGGGCAAGTTTCAGAGTGTCTTCTGACATCCATTTTGGTCTTTTCTTTCTTTCTTGTATTTTTTATGACTTCTTGCTTTCTTCATGGATGATGCTCTTGATGTCAGCTCACAATTCTTCTGGTTTTCAGTCATTGATGTTCAATCCATCAAATCTATTCTTTAGATGGTCTCTAAATTCAGGAGGGATATATTCAAGGTCATATTTTGGCTCTCATGGACTTAATTGTCTTCAACTTCAAGTTGAACTTGCATATGAGCTGTTGATGGTCTGTTCCACAATCAGCTCCTGGTGTGGTTTTGGCTGAAGATATTGAGATTTTCCATCTCTTCTTACCACAGATGTAGTCAATCTGATTCCTCAGTATTCCATCTGGCGAAGTCCACGTGTACAGCCGCCATTTGTGTCGCTGAAAAAAGGTATTTGCAGTAAGTCGTTGGTCTTGTGAAATTCTATCATGCGATCTCCAGTGTTATATCTGTCACCAAGGCCAAAGTTTCCAACTACTGGGGATTCTTTGTTTCCAACTTTTGTATTCCAATCACCAGTGATAAGCAACGCATCTTGATTGCATGTTTAGTCAATTTCAGACTGCAGAAGTTGGTAAAAATCTTCAATTTCCTCATCTTTGGCTTTAGTGGTTGGTGAGTAAATTTGAATAATCGTAGTATGAATGGGTCTTCCTTGTAGGCATATGGATATTATCCTATCCTGACAGCATTGTACTTCAGGACAGATCTTGAAACATCCTTTGTGATGATGAATGCTACACCATTCCTCTTCAATTTGTCATTCCCGACATAGTAGATCATATGATTCTCAGATTGAAAATGCCCAAAGCACATCCATTTCAACTCACTAATGCCTAGGATATCAATCTTTATGTGTTCCTTTTCATTTTGACAACTCCAATTTTCCTAGATTCATACTTTATACATTCCATGTTCCAATTATTAATGGATGTTTGCAGCTTTTTTTCCTCAATTTGAGTCATGCCACGTCAGCACATGGAGGTCCGGAAAGACTCACTTTATTGATCTCATTAAGGTTGGTTCTACTCTGATGAGGCAGTTCTTACCCAGTCCTATATGAATGCTTTCCAACCCAACGGGCTAGTCTTCCTGCACTGTTTCATACAATGTTTCCAAGCTATTCATAAAGTTGCCCAATAATGTATCAGACAGTGTTCTCTGCTATTCATAAGGTTTTCCCTGGCCAATTTTTGAGAAGTGGATGGCCTCCTCCTTCTTCCTAGTCTTTCTTAATCTGTAAACTGTGTTGAAACCTGTGCACCATGTGCAACTCTGCTGGCATCTGAAACACCAGTGGCACAGCCTCAAGCCTCACAGCAATGTACAAGTCCCACAGGATGACAAACTGACAGACAAGATTGTCTCCCTTAGCTGTTGGAAACCTCTGCGCCCTCCCCTTACCCAATCCCTACCTGGAACCTGCCACCTTGTGGTCTCTGGCCACTCCCTCCCTTTCCTGGCTCTAGGGGGCTTGGGGCCTAACCTTGTCTCCCGCCCCTTTGTACCTGGATATCCTGGTGCTCTGGAGATCCACAGCCTCTCTTCCTCCCTCCCTTTCCTGGCCCTAGGGGGCTTGGGGCCTAGCCTTGCCTCCTGCCCAGACAGCAGTATAATTCCTACAGCAGTCTAATTCCATATACCCATCCTCCATTGTTTGTGTGTTTTTTGTCATATCTTTTTACTTCTAAACACATCATAAACCCCATACTACCAGTCAGATGCCTTTATGTAAAATTTAAAGGACAATACAGTCTTTTTTCTTCATCTTCTTATTCACCATATCAATTTATTTATTAATCCCTCTATGGTGAGATAGGAGCTCTGGTGGCAGAGTGCCTAAGGCATATGACTGCTAACCAGAAGGCTGGCAGTTGAAACCCACCAGCCACTCCTCAGAAGACTGGACAATCTACTTCCATAGAGATACTACCTTGGAAACCAAGGAGGGGTCGCTATGAGGAGGAAAATGACTCAACAGTTGTGAGTTTTATTTATTTATTTATTTTTCAACCCAAATGGTATATTCCTTTGCTATGAAGAAAATTCTTTAGTATCCATGCCTGCTGGTGATTAATTCTCTCAATTTTCTAAAAAATATCTTTAATTCACTCTTAATTTTGAAAGATATTTTTGCTTGTTATAGAATTCTCAGTTTACAGAATTTTTTCCTTTCATAATTTGAAAGATACCACCCTTCCATGGTTTCAGATGAGAGGTCAAGGTTATTCTTACCCCTTTTTTCCCTATATGCAATGTCTTTTATTTATTTATAAGTGGGACCCCATAAAGACTTGAGGCCTTCTCTCTATATAGCATTCTCCTGTATAATGCGAAGCTGCCTCAGCTGACCCAAATTCTGATCTCTTCCTCCTCAGCTCTATATGGCTGGTATACTCTGCTCTAACTTCAGTTTTCTGTAACACAGTAAAACAACTGTCCCAATCCTGGGTAACTCTGAGATCTACCTCATGAACTGATTTTTCTCAAAAAGCATAGTCTTATGCTGTCTTTTGTCCACTGCTTAAAAACAGTTGTCTCAATACTATGTCTAGTTTTATAGCTGTTTATAATGAGAGGGTTAATGGGTACCAATTATTCCCTCCATCACGGCCATAGCAAAAAGTCACATAATTCTTTTTAAAGAACCTAGGCCATTAGGGTGAATTTTCAGAAGTGTAATTACTGGTCCCAAATAATGTGACATTTTCATTACTTTTGAAATGTATTATACTAAACTGATCTCCAAAAAATGTTCCACCAATTAAATCAAATTAATTAAATCAATTAAATCAAACCTGCAATATAACCAGGAAACTGAAATACAAAACAAAAACAAATATACAAAGATACCTGGGAGTAAAATTTGGGCATATAAACTTTTGAGTGACTGAAGGAAAACCACCAAAGGGCCTAGGATTAGCAGAAATTGAGCAAATGGGAACATGAAACTGAACCAATCTAGAGTACTTCCTGGGGAGAGGAGGGAAGATGCATTTGTTTATCACTGACCTTCAGAACAACTAAACTACCAGAGAAGAAAAAAAGAAAAAAAGTGAGGGAGGAGTTGCATTTCATTTGCCATGTGTGACTTATTTTCTTTATCCCTCTCAAACCATACCAAATTCATCAAGTCATTTTGAGCTCACAGTGACCTGCACTGGGTCTCCAAGGCTGCAAATCTTTACGGAAGCAGATTGCCTCATCCTTCTTCCAAGGAATGATTGGCTGGTTTGAACCACCAACATTTTGGTTAGTAGCCAAATGCACTAACTACTACACCACCAGAGTGCCTTCCTTCACCCCTTTTAAAAAAAAACAAAAACCAAACTCACTGCCATCGAGTCGATTCCAACTCATAGAGACCCCACTATGGGATTCTGAGGCAGTAAATCTTTATGGAAGTAGATTGCCCAGTCTTCCTTCCGTGGAATAGCTGTTTAGAAATCTAAAAATATCTGAAGGATAATAATAGATAATAGCTAAAGAAGTAGCTAAGGATTCCATAAAAGGGATATAAACATCAATCACTAATACAAGTAATTAAAAATGGCATGACTTTATAGGCAAGCCCTATAATCATTAATAACTATGCCTAAAATCCTGCGCAGAAGGCAGCAGGGAATAGAGAGACAATGATGGATGGATGATGGATAATATAAGTAGAAGTTTCTGAAACAGACAAAACAGACAAGGAGTAAGGGAAGTGTCTGTGGATAACATAATTTAAGATTTTCTTTTATTTACCGTTCCATCTTCCATCAACTTCAGACAAGAACCAAAATCTGCTAACCGAATATGTCCATTCATATCCATCAGTATATTGTCAGGTTTAATGTCCCTGCAAAAAATAAACACATTCCATTTTTAGTTGAGAGAAACAAATATAAGTTACTTGGTAAGATAACCTTTTCGTATGAAAATATTTGTTTTAAAATTACTAATCTAAGAACACTAATTTGACTCAGGTTCATATTCAAACTCTCTTAAACACACTCAGTATCGATATTCTCTTGAACATAAAATGTACTGTGGTAATTTTCATTCAGGTCAAAGTAATCTTAGCATAATCCCTTTAGATTTACACAAGTCCCAATGTGATTATTATAGACTTACTTTTTTACATACAGAAAAGAGTCATGATTAGCTGATACAAAGAAAAAAAACTGTCCTCTAGTACTTAAAATTGGACATAAAAAAGTATATATCCTGGACCCTGAATATAACTGCAGACTGACAAATTCTCAAGTACTGTAGGTTGTAACAACACAAAGCAATTGCTTCAAAAAGCAGATTTTAGAAAATAACCACACCAACTACCTAATAAATGAAATACATTACATATACATTTCATTATTTATAGATGTTAAGTTCCTGAGAAAAAAAATTATTTGTAAGATAAACAAATTTAGACAAAAACAAGTAAATCCTGTCAGTTTTTGTATATGAATAATGAAAAGTATGGGTTTGGAGCAGCTTGAGGGAGGGGGCAGACCAGGAAGCCAGCCAGGAGTGGCGATGGTACAGTTCAGAGCAGCTTGAAGGAGACAGACCAGGAAGCTGGCTGGGGACAGTGGTGGTACAGATCAGAGCAGCTGAGGGAGGAGACAGACCAGGATATGGGGCAGGCAGTGGGCCAGAGCAGCTGAGGGAGACAAGGAAGTGAGCATATCTGTTTGGCCTACTGGAGTCACTTGCGTATTAGTGTGAGCCTAAAGGCTATGCCACTAGTGTTTCAAATGCTAGCATGGTTACCCATGGTAGACAGGTTTCAACAGAGCTTCCAGACTAAGCCAGATTCAAAAGAAGAAAGAGGTCATCCACTTGTCAAAGAATTGGCCAGTAAAAACCTTATGAAGAGCAGAAACACTGTCTAATATACTACTGGAAAACTTCATAAATAGCCCTGTAACACTGCCCAATATAGAGCCAGAAGATGAACCCCTCAGGTTGGAGGGCACTCAATATATGACTGGGGAAGAGTTGCCTCCTCAGAGTAGAGGAAACCTTAATGATGTAGACAGGGTAAAATTTTCAGGACCTGCATTTGCTGATTTGGCATGATTCAAAATGAGAACAAAACAGCTGCCAATATCCATAAATAATCAGAACATGGAATGTATGAAGTATGAAAATTGGAAGTTGTCAAAAATGAAATGGAATGCATAAAGATTTATATCCCAGGCATCAGTGTGCTGAAATGGACTGGTTATGGCCATTTTGAATCAGACAATCATATGACCTTCTATGCTGAGAATGTCAAATTGAAGGGGAATGGCGTGGCATTGATCATCATAAAGAATGTATCAAGATCTATCCTGAAGTACAAACTTGTCAGTGATAGGATAATATCCATACGCCTTGGGCAATCTACTTCTGTAGTGGTAATGCCTCGGAAACCCAAGAAGGGGTTGCAATGAGTTGGATCTGACTCGACAGCAGTGAGTTTGGTTTGGTTTTCATAAGGAAGACGAGTTAATTGAAATTTTTGCTATTGAAATTGATGCCCCAACCACCAAAGCTAAAGATGAGGAAACTGAAGATTGTTACCAACTTCTGCAGTCTGAAACTGACCAAACATGCAATCAAGATGTTTTGATTACACTGGTGACTGGAATGCAAAAGTTGGTAGCAAAGTAGAATCACAAGGAAAATATGGCCTTGGTGATAGCAATAATGTGGCAGATTGCACGACAGAATTTTGCAAGACCAATGACTTATTCATTGTAAATACTGTTTTGCAACAACACAAATGGCAGCTATACATGAGGACTTTGCCAGATGGAGTACACAGGAATCAGACTGACTACATCTGTGGCAAGAGGGGATGGAGAAGCTCAGTATCTTCAGCCAAAACAAGGCCAGGAGCCGATTGTGGAACAGACCATTAACTGTTCATATGCAAATTGAAGCTGAAAATGAAGACAATTTAAAAAAGTCCAGGAGAGCCAAAATATGACCTTGATTTTATCCCTCCTGAATTTTGAGACCATCTAAAGAATAGATTTGATGCACTGAACACCAATGATCAAAAACCAGAGGAACTTCGACATGACATCAAGAACATCAACCATGAAGAAAGCAAAAGGTCATTAAAAAGACAGGAAAGGAAGAAAAGATCACAATGGATATCAGAAGAGATTCTGAAACTTACCCTTGAACAGAGAGTAGCTAAAGCAAATGGAAGAAATGACAAGCTAAAAGAGCAGAACAGAACATTTCAAAGAGCAGCTCAAGAACGCAAAGTCAATTGTTATAACAAAATGTGCAAAGACATGGAGTTAGAGAACCAAAAGGGAAGAACATGCTTGGCAGTTCTCAAGCTGAAAAAACTGAAGAAAAAAAAATTTAGCTTCGAGTTGCAATACTGAAACTTTCTACGGGCAAAATGTTGAATGATGCAGGAATTATCAAAAGAAGATGGAAGGAATACACAGAATCACTGTACGAAAAAGAACTAGTCGATGTTCATCCATTTCAGGAGGTGGCATATGATCAGGAACCAATGGTATTGAAGGAAGAAGTCAAAGCTGTACTGAAGGAATTGGAAAAAACAAGGCTCCAGGAATTGACGGAACACCCACTGAGATGTTTCAACAAATGGATGCTGTGCTGGAGGCACTCAGCCGGCTATGCCAGGAGATTTGGAAGACAACTACCTGGCCAATTGACTGGAAGAGATCCATATCTGTACCCATTTTAAAAAAAGGTGATCCCACAGAATGTGGAAATTATCAAACAATATCATTAATATCACACACAAGCCAAATCTTGCTGAATATAATTCAAAAACAGTTGCAGGAGTATATTGACAGGAACTTCAAGAAATGCAAGCTAGATTCAGAAGAGGATGAGGAACAAAGGATATCATTGCTGATGTCAGATGGATCTTGGCTTAAAGCAAAGAATACCAGAAAGATGTTTCCATGTGGTTTACTGACTATGCAAAAGCAATTGATTGTGTGGATCATAACAAATTATGAATAACACTGAGAAGAATGGGAATTCCAGAACATTTAATTATATTCATGAGGAATTTGTACATAGACCAGTAGGCTGTTGTTCAAATAGAACAAAGGGATACTGCATGGTTTAAAATCAGAAAGGGAGTGCATCAGGTTTGTAGCCTTTCATCACACCTATCCAATCTGTATGCTGAGAAAATAACCCAAGAAGCTGGACTATATGAAGAAGAATGTGTGGCACAAGGACTGGAGGAAGAGTCATTAACAACCTGAGATACGCAGATAACACAATTTTGCTTGCCGAAAGAAAAGATGACTTTAAGCACTTACTGATAAAGATTGAAGACTACAGTCTGCAGTATGGATTACACCTCAATATAAAGAAAACAAAAATCCTCACAACTGGACTAATAGGCAACATCATGAGAAACGGAGAACAAGATTTAAGCTTTCAGAGATTTCATTTTACTTGGTTTTACAATCAACACCAGTGGAAGCAGTAGTCAAGACATCAGACGACATACTGCATTGGGCAAATCTGCTGTAAAAGACCTCTTTCAAGTGCTGAAGAGCAAAGATGTCTCCTTGAAGACTAAGGTACAGCTAAACCAAGCCATGGTATTTTCAATTGCCTCATATGCATTTGAAAGCTGGACAATGAATAAGGAAGATCGAAGAAGGGTTGATGCTTTTCAGTTGGGGTATTGGTGAAGAATACGGAAAGTACCATGGACTGCCAGAACAAATAGCATATCTGTTCTGGAAGAAGTGCAGCCAGAATGCTCCTTGGAAATAGGAATGGCCAGACTCGTCTCACTTAGTTTGGTCATGTTGTCAGAAGGGATCATTCCCTGGAAAAGGATATCATGCTTGGCAAAGTAGAGGGTCAATGAAAAAGAGGAAGGCCCTCAATGAGATGGATTGACACAGTGGCTGAAATGATAGACTCGGATATAGCAAGAATAGTGAGGCTGGCAAAGGACCAGGCAGCATATTGTTCTGTTGTGCACAGAGTCTCTACGAGTCTGAGATGGCTCAACTGCACCTAACAATGAAAAGTACTGCAAATTAGGAGTCTCTGGGTGGTATGAACACCTTCAGCTGCTTACCCAAAGGTAAATGGTTTGAGTCCACCCATAGGCCCCTCTAAGAAAGGGTTAAAAATCTACTTCTAAAAACTCAGCCACTTAAAACTCTATGTAGCAGTGTTTGACTCTGACATACACAGAATAGCAATGAGTCTGAATAAACTCAACAGCACTTGGTTTTTATTTTACTGCAAACTTTAGCAAAATCATATATACAATGATTTGAAAATAAGACAGTCAGGTATCCAGCAGTATAGAGTTTCCAAGCACATTCAAAAGACTGTAATTCTGGGGAACTAAGAGATTAGATCATAATTTATCTACTTCTAAACTGAAAACAAAACTAAACTCACTGCCATAGAGTCAGATTCGACTCACAGCGACACCTCCTTGGGTTTCCAAGGTGGTATCACCACAGAAGTAGATTGCCCAACCTTCCTTCCGAGGAGTGGCTGGTGGGTTTGAACCACCAGCCTTCTGGTTAGCAGGTTAGTCTTAGTCACCATGCCACCAGACCTCTCATATTTACTTCTAGAGTAAGAAAAAGAATTTTCTCACAACATTAGACATGTATAAGAATTCAATTGCCTGTGGTTAGTGAAGTATGGCAGGGACACTTTAATTTAACATGAATGATGCTTCTTCCTCTTCTTTTTTTTTTTTGAATTGTGATTTTGGTGAAAGTTTACGGAGCACATTCACTTTCCATACAGCAGCTAACATACACTTTGTCTAATGACACTGACTACAATTTACCACAATGCAACAGCTCCCCTCTACTCCCTCCC